AATGGAAATGAAATATAATAATAATGATATAATTTATTATTATTAATCTAATAACATTAACTATCTAAGCTTTAGATTTCATACAATTATCTACAATATAATGTTCATGTGCATAAATGATAACAAAAGATGATTGTTTAAGATTTAATTGTAAAATCTCACCATACTAATAATCATAATAAAAAATCAATCTTGATAAAACTGCATTAAAGAATAAGACTGCCTTATCTTTAGGTGTACCAGATTTCAAATGTACTGCATTATTTTGTTCTGATATCAAGACTCAAGAACTTTGTGATAATACAGGTGAATGTGTCTGGAATAATAATGGTGTATGTGAAATCTTTTCTGGATGTGGATCATATTAAGTTGATAAAAAAGAAGATTGTTTTTTAAAAAGTACATAAACTAAGTTTTGTACATATGATGAGGAATAATAAAGTAATGGGAAATATAATTGTATTAATGATCTATCTAAATCAGGAGGAAGTTTTATGACATGTTTCACTTTAAATAATGAGAATCTATGTAATCAATACGAATATGCTGTATGTACTTGGAGAACATTTTAATAATGTTAAGATGAATCTGATGAAGTTAATTTGTGTTAGTAATATCAATATTGTATTGGCGAGGAAAGTAAGGATTGTGCAGATCTTTCAGGATTTTAAGATAAATGTGATAAAAGAGAAAATTATTGTAAATGGGTAAAGGATAATAGTACATGTATGGAAAGAGAATGTTCTGATTATACATCTGAAACTGATTGCAAAAGTATTTTAACAGATGATTTAAAAAGAGCTAAACCTTGTACATGGGAAGAAGGATTATGTATATAAGGGTTTAATTTAACTAAATTAAATAAATACAATTGTTTGATTAATTCATTGAATACTTCAATGTGGAATGAAGTTGAATAGAGATGTCAAAGTTGTAAATTTGAAAAAATATTGAATTTTATTATTATTTTATTGATATTATTATATTGAATTAATCATTTAATTTATTATTATTAGTAAAATAAAGAGTCAATTATGAAGAGAACAGAAAACTTAGTATATATTATACAATACAGATATTTAAAGATTAAATAAATGAATTTAGATTTATATAATTTACTATGGATATTATAAATTCTACATTAAATTATAATCTAGTATTTAAAATATTCTATTATTAATAATAATTATATAAATACCTCATTCAAAGGTGCAACAAATTATAAATTAATCATAAAATTAATTTTATATAAATATTAATGATCATATACAATATAAAACATATTTATATATTTTATTGTTTAGATTAAATATAAAATTTCTTCAGAAACTGAATTATAATATTGAAATTAAAATTATATTATCCAGTGGAGATAGATGAAGTATTTAAAATGGATTTGTATATTTTATGCAATATTTATACAGTTTAGAATAAAAATTGTATGAATTGATGAGATATTCAACGGTTTTTTCTCTGTAATGTTATAATCAAAAGAATTAAAAAGTTAAGAAAACATATATTCTGTCTTTTAATAGGTAAGCTAGATTAGTTATTAAATATATTGGATTTCAACAAGATTTAAAATATTAATTCGATGGGATCCATTTGTGTAGCGAAACAGCAAAATTTCGCTTCTATTACTTAAAGTGACATAGAAATTGCTGAAGAATAAGCCATTAATGATTAGATTAGTACTATGTCATGCAATTTTATTTCAACTTTGGAACTACAGTTTAAAAGTACAACTTCATCAAATGAGTTTGAACAATAACAAACCAAAAAGATTAAGTTATCATAGAATCATCAATAATTTATAAAGAATGGTATTCTAAAGAATACTAATCCTTATTATGAGGAAGAGTTAAAATTACTTTAAAAAACAATAAAAGAAAGTCAAGAAAGTATGTATAGTGAGAAAATAGTGAATTATTTGAGGGCTCGTAAAGGTTAAGGATAATATGAAATAAATTTATGAATTTAATTCTTACTTATATATTTAGATATATTGCTTTCATAAAATCATTATCATTATGCATGTTTTTTTGTAAACTCTCTAGCATATTATTCATATTTATTTTTGTCCTATTTGAAGATATTTGCAATCTCTGGTACAAGAGGATCATCTGGATTTGGATCAGTTAAAAGGGAAGATATACTAAGTAACACTAAAATATTCTATAAATTATTTAAATACCTTTGCTAATTGTTAAGGCAGGTGACCATTAATCTTTTAATATATCTAGACAAATAGCCCCATTCTAATTAATATTTGGATGATAAATTCGAGTAACAAAGTTTATTTTAGGAGGTTTAAATGGATAATCTGTAGGAAAATGAATATTTAAGAAAAAGACTCCTCCTTGATAAGGCGAACCTTCTGGTCCCATAATTGTTGCTTACCAATGAAAGTTATCTTTATCATCAACTGGACCAGCAGAACAATTGGCTGGTGGATCCTTAGCTAAGTCTGCTAATTCTTTTTGAATTCTCTTAAGAGCCATTAATTAATTTATATATATTTAATATATAAATCACATCAATCTATGTCTAATAAGAATGTTTTCTATATTTTCAGTACTACACATTAGATTAATACTTTGTTTGTAATATTAGCATACAATTGATTCACTTATTTCTGGAGTTTCCTTATAAAATAGGACAAAACATCCTTAAATCAATTGTTCAAATTGTTTCTTTAAATCTTCATGAGTAAAATCTGCCATTCTAATATTTCTTTTTTATAAAATTTCCATAAATTATTCTTTATTACATTCAACAACACGTTTAGTTAGATATTTATAAATGTATGGTAATCCTTCTTATGTGATTTTAAATGGAGTAACTTATCCACCAAAACTTTCTTTTCCCCTTTCAAAGAGTTTTTAACCAATGTTAATAAGTTTAAGATTTTCTAATTGAAATATAATAATATTATTTACAATTCTTTGGATCAAACAATATATTTTTAACATCTTCACTAACATATCTAAATTTCTTATTGACTTACATTATAATATCAAGTGATTATCCAGTACCTAGAACTTATGCTTATGGGAATCCACTAATACCATAATATTCACAAATGACTTTCCAATCATAGTCATTAATAGGAGTATAGGGTTCAAGTAAAGCTGTTTTATTTTTATCATTTTATTATTTATCATCTTATTCATTGCTTTATTTTAAGATATCTTTAAGATGATCTTAATTCATATCAATATCTTAAATTAATTATTCTTATTAAATATCTTCAGATTATATTATTTCTTTATGTTATTATTCTTATAATTACTATTATTATTATTATTATTATTATTATTATTATTATTATATAACTTATTATTATTCTTATTCTTATATAACTTATTATTATTCTTATATAACTTATTAAATTTATTAAACTGGTTTATCAATAATTTATTCAACTTCAATTAATTATTATTATTAAGATATTATAGATTCTTAATATATTGGTTTCTTCCAAATTACTGCTTATTTTTTCTTAAATAATGCCAAATAAAAACCACCAGTATCTTAATCATGTGGAAGTACTCTCATTGTCTTCTCTATATTAATTTTATTCATAAATTCTTCAGTGTCTGGCCATAAAGAAGGTTTTAATGTTTTTAATGCATTAATTATCTATCCTTCTTATTTTCTTGAAAACTTGGAAAACAACTTTTTTATATTCAACTTCTAATTAACATTATTAACTTCATAAACTAAATCATCTACATTGACAGTATCAAGGAAAGCCTTTTCATCTTAATCTGGATTAGTTTCTCTTTGAAGATACTTTTATGTTAGAAAGTCATCAGTTATAATAACTTTCCAATCTTTAACTCCTTTTCTAGTTTTAAATCCTTATAATGTATGTAAATCAACTAATTCAAAAGCATCAAAACCAGCTCTTCTAAATACTTCAGCAACAACAGCTTCATCTTCAATAGGATTAAGTGAACATGTACTATACATTACATATCCTCCAATTTTACATAATTATAATGCTCTCATCAAAATACTCAATTACAAAGGATGAATAACATTACCATCTCTTGCTGACCATTTAACCCATCTTGTAGGTAATTTACGAGCAGCTCCATCTCCAGTACATGGTACATCACATAATACTTTATCAAATTATAATCTTTATCCATTTATATATAAAGTTGGATAGAATTAAGCTGCATAATTAGTAATCATAACTTATGCTGTTGGCATACGAGATAATTGATGTGATAACATATATGCTCTTTTTGGATCAACATCATTTGCAACAATTAATCCTTTATCAACAATTTCTAATAATTAACATGTTTTTGATCCAGGTGCTGCACACATATCTAAAACAAAATCAGTTGGTTGAGGATCTAATAATAATGGAGGTAACATTGAAACAAGTTCTTATCTAGTCAAAAGTCCAGTTGAATTGCATTTTTATATGAATTAATGTAATTTAGTAAGTGCAGCTGATTTTCTTAGACTTTTTTTAGGTACTTTAGATTCCCAAACTAAATGATTAGGATACCATTTAATTTCTCTAATTGGTTCAATTATTTCTTCTTCATTGACCATATCTTTTATCAATGAGCCATCTTACAATCTTTCAATTAAACTTTCATATTTAAATTAAGATGGATTAATTCTGAATGTGACAGGTAAAGGAAGAGATAAAGATTACCAAAATATCTTAAATTCTTCTGTATTTATTTCTGGTAATTGAATCTATTATAGATAAATGATATCATACTTCATAGAAACGACGAAAGATAGGATTCTCAAATTAAACAACACAAATTTATTGATTGTCTTGATCCCAATGATTTGTCTTAACTTTCTTTTAAGGAGCATTTTCATATTTGCTTTAATTTTTGTTTCTATGTTTTCCCATATATTAAATTAATAAAATAAAATTAAAAGAATTTTATTGTGAAAGAATATTTTTATTATTAATATGAAAGAATTGATAAAATATTTTTAATTGTAATTAAGTAAGATATTCAAACTTCTAGCTCATTTTTACAAATTGGACAATGTCTGCTTTTCTTAAGCCATTTGTCAATACAATCATCATGAAAATAATGTACTATATATATATATATTATAATATATACAGCATGGAATAGTTTTAACTAAATCTTCTTTTTCATATTCACATAGACATATTAAACATTTCATATGATCTTCATCTAATTATTTAATTTATTCTAAATTAATCTTTCTTACTGGTAATTATTATATCTCATGTTCTTCACATCCTATATTACCTTCAATAGTGCCATTTTCATTTAATTATATAAATGTATTTAATAATCTATGTAATGATTCAATCTAATCTTATCTAGTATTATTAATAGATCTATTTATAATATTGTAGCTTTGATTTAATTCTAATTATTATAGATTCATTCTTTAATCAACTTAATCTGTAATTTGAATATGTGTTTAATTTGGAATTACAAATCCATAATCCTCATCTAAACACACTTCAAAAATGAAATCACCAATCCTTAATATCTAACCTTTCTCTAAATATCTAGTCAATCCTACAAAATAAGGTTAAATAACTTAGTTTAACACTTATTAAATTGCTTAATTTCTATTACTACGAGAAAATTCAATTGGTTGCTTTAAAATAATAAATTACACTTTAGATAATCTAGGAACATTAGAAATACATTCCATTTTTGTATATAAATGTAATCTTCCTGATTATTCTGTGCATTACAATATAAAATATTCCTAATTATTTATTTTTATATATGAATCTATCAATATTTTATAATTATATATACCTTAAATGAGTTGATTTTCTTTTGGATGAGAAAAGAAATAATGAAAAATTTCATCTTAACAATTTTTTCTTTGTGTATATATTTTCAATTTATACAAGATTCTATCTGTATATGATTCATAACAATAAATCTTTGTACCAGTACCTACAATACCTTAGAGTTAGGAACCACATCCAACTACTCTAAATTCAAATTAATCAATATTGAAGCAAGCCCCAGATGTAATTACTCTTTCTCTCATCTAAAAGAATGGCAATATAATTTAAGTCATCAAGTTTCCATATGAAATGTGATTAATACAAGTCCTATAGTAATTACTACAAATACTGATTCACACGTAGCACAACCTAATCTAAATATTATAATGGGAAACTATATGTGTAACATTAAAAATCCTAACTCTGATTAACAAGACTAATCACTCCATCCTTTATGACATACGGAATTTGACATTCTTCACATATATTTGTTCTACCTAATCCATCATCAAATAGTAAAAACTCACACCTTAAACAACTTACTCTTTATGCTTTAAACTCAGGTTTTTAGAGTATTGATGATGGAAAAGTTGAATAATCTAATCACATATTTAAACATACTCTAAGTCAAATATTTAGTCAATTCATCTTCAGATCTATTCACTTGCTTTGTTTGTAATGAAGATTGATTTTACTATTAATTTGAAGGTCTAGAACTATTTCCCATTAGGAATTAATAATATATATATATATTATGAAATAAAATCCGATCTTACTAAAACATTATTAAGATGAATATTAATTAGATTTGAATTTATATTGTTCATTTCTACATCTTAATTATTATTAAGAATTGATAAATAAAATAATGATGATTAGTTTTTTTGTTAGTTTGATACATAATTATTTAGAATAAAATAATTATGGTATTTTATAATAATTAAAAATTTAGAGAATGGCAAATTACTTAATTAAATAGGTTTAATAATTTGAATAAGAACATTAAACATTAGTACCTACTATATATTAAATTTTGAGTAGTTTTTTCTTTGCACTTAATCATTTTAGTGTAAAATTATTTGATGGCATACCTGTAACATAAATAATAATATGGAGATGTGCCTTAACATTTATAATTATCAGATTATTCAATCAAATATTACCATTGTAATCATATCCAAAAAATTAAAAGATAATGAATAAACTATTGTTTAGAGGAGCAATTGGAATGTTTGGATTTTTAGCCTGTTTTTCTTCATTAAAATTGGTTGCTGTTTCAGAAGCAGTAGTTTTAATGAAAACTAATCCTATTTGGACTACTCTAATATTAGTTTATGTATTAAGAAAAGAGAAGATAAATATGAGAACAGCAATAGAAATAATTACTTGTATTATAGGTGTCATTTTTATAACGAAGCCTCCATTAATATTTGGAAATGAGAATTCAGAATATTCAATTTTATATTTGATAGGTCTTTGTTTGGCACTTGTTACTGGATTAGAGACAGCTGTGGCATAAGTGATTATTAAATCATTAAATAATCAAGTTCATTCATTTGTAATATTGCAATACTTTTCATTATTCGCTGTAATAGGTGCAGTACTTTTTCAATTGTATTCACCTTTCGAAGACATGAGATTTCTTTCTTTTAAAGAAGCTGTCATTCTCTTATTTAGTGGATTTCTTGGTTGTTTGGGATCCATGTTTATGAATAGAGCAATGATGTTAGGTAAAGTAACATAAATGGCACTTATTGGAGAAACATAAATAGTATTTAATATTCTATTGGATTTATTAATTTTGAAATAAATGATAGGAATGACTAGTTGGATAGGAATTGGTATGATAGCTACAAGTCTAACTTCGAATATAATGTAAAAGAACTGATTATTAAACAAATTATATATGTCTAATTAAATATAAATATGGCAAATTTGCTAATAGGTCTAACATAACAACTTAAAGTGTTAGAAAAATAATATCCAACAGGATTACCTGCATTTTATTAATTGATGTCTAGTTTAACATTTGCAATTCATACATTTAGTATTAAATTTTTTGAAGGAATTCCTGCTAGTTAAATTATAGTTTGGAGATCTGTATTGACTTTAATAATATTACAAATACTAATATAAATGTTCCCTTGTTAATCATATCCAAAAAATAAGGGTACATTAATAAAATTAATTGGAAGAGGAGTATTTGGAGGTATTGGATTTATTTCATTTTTTCTTGCATTAAAATTAACTACTGTTTCTGAAGCAGTAGTATTAATGAAAACTAATCCATTATGGACAACCTTATTAGTAGTATATATTTATAAAACAGAAAAGATGACATGGAAATCAATGATTGAAATACTCTTTTGTATATTTGGTGTAATTTTAATATCAAAACCACCTATAATAATGTCATTATTAGGTTATGAAATTCATTAATTAGAATTTACTTATTTGTATTTCATTGGTTTATGTCTCTCTTTATTAACAGCATTTACTACATCTATTACATAAGTACTTATTAGTTCACTTTCAAAAGAGGCACATTAATTAGTTATATTATAATATTTTTCATTATTTGGAATAACTATGGCTTGTATATATTAATTGTATTCTCCATTTGAGTAATTTCATATTTTGAATTTATAAGAGATGGGTTTAATGATTATAAGTGGATTTTTGGGTTGTGTAGCATAGTTATTTATGAATAGATCAATGATGATTGGAGATGTTACATAAATGTCATTAGTAGGACAATCTCAAATTGTATTTAACATTTTATTAGATGTTCTTATTATGAAATAAAATATAGGAATAATGAGTTCAATTGGTATATTTATGATAGCAGCCAGTTTAGTCTCAAATATAAAAAAGAAAAATAAAAAATGATAGAAATTTTTTTTTGCATTTGTAAATATAATAATTATTATAATAATTTTGATATTATTAAAATATTAATAACAAAACAGATATATAAATATATGATATTGATAATACATCATATATTTCCACTTTTTGTAAATCTTAATGGCTAGGATTTAGATAATAATTGACCAAATGATTCTATTAAATTAATTTAATGTGTGCTTTATAAAGTTTCTTCATTTTCAAATACAAAGTCTTCAAAACATTATTCTAAACGAGTAATAAGTGTATCAGCATTTGGTCTATCTTAAGGATTAAAAGATAGACAATCTGCTATTAATTTAATAAAATCATCTTCTATATTCTTATCAGCCAAAGTTTATTTAATTTTTTCATATGTACATTCTTCTTTATATCTATCTTCAGTCCAAAAGAGTGAAGAATGATCTACTGGATATATTCCTTAATTAGCTATTTAATAAACTAAGAAAAAATATAATAAAAATAATTACATATCATTCCAATTTACCAAATATCTGAAGTATATGTATAATTAGATTGACCAGTTTCAGGTGGTTCATAATTAGTAGATGATGTAAGACCAGTAAGAATTTAATTACAATATTCAGGAGCATCTTCTATAGTAGTAGAATGATCAAAGTCTGCAATTTTCAATTATGCTCTATCAAGATCTTCATGACTTAAAAATAGATTGGCAGGTTTAAGATCTCTATGTAAGATTCTATGTTTATGTAATTAACGAATAGCTAATATATATATATATAATTAGATACCAAAAGCTAATTAACAACATAGATCTTTAACATTTCTATCATAAATTTCAGAATTTTCAAATGTTTTAGATAAATCAGTAGGATAGAGTTCCATAAATAAATATAATTAATCCTAAATTCTAAAATATGCAAAATAATAAGCAAAAGGTTCATATTTTCTAAAATTTTCCATAATTTCTAATTCTCTTTATGAACATAATATTAAATAATCTTTATTATCTGCAATATCTAATTTTGCAGATTTCATAACAGTTCTATTACTTATTCCAGGAATAGTTTTTAAGAAATCTGGAGTATCGAATACATAAACAAATGAATTAGCTTTATCATCAACCATACTTTAATCATTTGCAAATTAAAAGATTTATTGTAATATTTCAACATAAGGTAAACTTTCAGTTAAACCAATATTAACATTCTATTATACTAAAAAATAATCAATAGTTTCTTAAAAATCATCACCATTACATTCTAATCCCATCCAAGAAACTAAAAATTAAATTTAATAAAAATGTATACTTAAATCTATAAAACTCTAAAAAGATTCTTCTGGAGTAATTATTCTACCAAATTCAAAGTCAATTTATTAAAAACAAACATGTTTACCAATAATAATGACTTTATCTGGTTTAATTAAGAATGGTAGTTTTCTCTTACATAATTCCTATAATGCTATATAAATTCATAATCATATATACTTATTCCAACTAATGAAGCAACAAATACTTTCTCATTATTATCCATATGTTCTAAATTATTTTCTAAAGAGTATTCTTAATAATCTGGACTGGCCATTGAATTTTCTTATAAATATAAATCCAATGCAGGTAAAATGTTGTACAATTTAATTTTCCTCAATTTCAAAAATCTCTCATTATTAATATTTTGTTTAGTGAATCTTCTTATAATATAATTGTAATCATTAGTTGTCCTTCTACATTTGAATTCCTATCTATTAAATTAATTCAAATTACCATATATTCATTGGTTGTTTTCTTTAATTCTAACTAAATATAAGTGTCCTCTAGTCTTTCTTCATTGAAATGTATAATACTTTAGTTCATTTAATATATTAATATATTGTGATCAAATAGAATAAACATTTAAATATCTAAATAATAATATATAGATAGAATAATTTAAAGTATGATCATTAGAATTCTTCATTATCAAATGAAACACAACTATTTCGATGTGGATTCAATAATAATGATTATTCCATTTGTTAAATTAGATTCTCAATAGAACTCAATTCTTTTTTAAGTTCTTCAATTTCTCTTTATAAATCATTAAATTCCATTATATTAAATTCCTTATATAATTATATATAAATATATACTTTTTATTTAACAATCCTTTCCATTTTTTATTTGATTTCTTTAATAAGAAATTCTCTCTTTTTTCTTACTTCTTATAAATTTATTTCAATTTCTTCATTGATTTATTTAGGTTGTTAAAATTATTGTGATTTGATTTCTTTTAATTATCTAGATGGAATTGTTTAAAATATATCCTTAATAATTTAAATACATGTTCTTAATTATTTCTCAGGTATCTAATGTAAATAATATTCATCATTATTTGTTAAATATTCTTATATAATTTATCTTAATTCTGGATCATCTAAAAAATCTGTATTTGTTTAAAAATTCTATTCTGATTATTTCTTAGAAGATAATGATCTATTTTAATTATCAAATTCTAAAATTGTTATCTTTAATTCATTATTTTCCTAAATTAATTAATCATTCTACTGACTTAATTCATTATAAGTTTAACTGAATTCTTATATCAATCTATCACTTTCACATAATCTAAAATCTTTTTCTTCTTTTAATTTTTATTTTAATTCATTTATCTCTTTCTCTTTCTATTTTAATATTCTTTAAAATTTCTCTTAAACTGTTTTCTACTCTATAATCTCATTATCTCTTTCACTTAACTTTTCCTTATATTCTATTAGTTCTTTCTATATCTATTTATACTTATTTTCATTTCCCTTAACCATTTATTATTACTTCTATAAATCCTTCTCATAACTATTCTCTTATACAATAATAATTACTCTTAACATTTTTAATAAATCTAAGAATAACTTCTATCAGTCTCACATTTTCTTATCCTTTCCTTATCTAATTCTTCTTTTAATTAATCATATTTCCTATTTATTACTCGTAAATTATCCTCCAAATTCAAAATCCTTTATAACAATTATTCCTTTGTTTCTTAACGAAATGGTGAAGTATTATTCTCATAATATGGAAATTAAGGTTATAGATTTTGGTTAATTGTTTGTTGAACCTAAGGGTATCCCATATTGTATTTCAAAGGGGTCATCTACTATTTGTCACTAAACTAATAGAATATAGACTAATCTATTGTACACTACATCCTCTGAACGGTGATGTGTTAATTGCCTTTTCAGGTGTTTTAGTAACATATGTGGATGGAGTCTATATCAATTTTAGAGGTTGTTTTTGCATTAACGAATAATAACAATTAATTTTTATATATATACTATGAATGATATTTTATGATATTTATTTTACATCTTCAAAAAATAAATAATTTGAAAAATATATTTATATATAAAATTAACATAGATATTAATAAGAATTCACAATCATATTTCTTCATTCTAAGAATTATAATATATTTATTCTTTACAAATTTTAATTTAATATCAATATATCATATTTTTAATAATTATTTTACATATGAATTTACTTCAAAAGATCACTTTTATCATAACAAGATTACTTTTAATTTAGATTAGATGTCTTGCAATTACTCTTAATGATTCCATACCAATTAAAAAGTATATTCTTCTTGAAAATGAGAAAATTTCCTCTTTATTTAGTTTAAGTTCATTTCCTCTAGATAATCAAAATTAACAAGATTAAAGAGACATAGAATTTCCATTAATCGAATTAAAATAAAACATAATGTGTGGTAATATTATGATTAAAAATCTAAAATCTATAATAATTGATAATGATTAATTAGCAATTATGACTATATATGGTGATGAGATGATATGTTTATTATAATTAAAAAGATATTTAGTAAATGATGAACTAAGTTATTTAAATTGTTCAATTAGTTTTAAATTATAGTAATAAAATTGTTTCAAAGTTTATTAAATTTCTAATGATTAATTAGTGATACTATGTTAAAAGGATTCAAAAACAATAAAACTTTATTTATAGAATTTATAAAATTAAGTAATAAGTGATTATGAAGTTAAGATAATGGAAAATTGTAAATTTAATTCATTTCATCAAGATCAATATATAATTATTTTTTAATCAGATTGCATTAACTAAATAGATAATACATAATAATTAAATATACTGAAAATTAATCAAAATGAAATTTAATCTTATTATTAATAATCATTAACATAATTATTATAAATTATAAATATAGAAAAAGCTGGAAAATTAATAGATATTTAAATTTGTCATTCCAAAAATATCATATTTGAATTTACAAAAGGAATATTCTAATGTAACATTGATAATTTAAATCAGTGCTATTAAATTAAATTCATTATTTAATCTTCAACCATTGTAAAAACATTTAATTATTGTCTTAAAAGCTACATTTTAGAATATACAAATGAAGGAGAATGTATTATATTTAAAATATATAAGGGTTCTTTAAAAAATATCAAATTTATTTAAATACAACTGATTATGTAGATTCAATTTAAATCTAAAATAAATTAATAATTTATTCTAAAGATGAATTAATTATTTTTTTTAATCCTAGCATCTTAAACAAAAAATAAATTTAAGTTTAATTTATTATTCCTATAGCTGATTTATCTTATTTTGCTTTATTAAATATTAAAGGAGAATTACAAATTTACAAAATAAATGATTAAAGATATTATCTGTCTTATTCTTACCCATTATAAGTTGTAATTGTTTTGCCAATAGATTTCTATCAAATAAATACTGTTATGGTCATTATTTAGATGGAATAATATGATTAATTGAATCCTCCATTTTTAATTAACAAAAATGAAATAGTAGCTTATGATAGAGAACTCAAAAATAATTTATTTCTAAGGAGAGATTTAATTTAAGAATCTATACCTTTTTAGATATTGAAAATTGAAAGAGATGGAAGGATTATCAGCTTTTAATATTAAACTAGAGGATTTTAATGTAAATACAATAATAAAGTACCTTATTATAATTTATGGCTTATTGAAAATGAAAATAATATCTAAGTTCTAATTCTTGAATTAAAATATACAATTCAAATATATATTTGTTCATAAGGAATATTAATAAATAATTATAAAATACCATTACATTAAAATTATATTAGTACTATTGTTAATCGAAATTATGTATCTCTATATACAATTCATTAAAATGAATTCCAATTTTATTAATTTATAGATATGAATCTAATAAGTCAATCAATAACTATATAGGAGAATATAATAAAAATAATCAAAAATCAAAACAACATTCAATTGGTTTTAGATAATTGTAAGATTATTGAATTATACTTCAATTCTATCCCTTATAATATTCAATATTTCTATTATAATTATGATAATTGTACAGAAATAAGATTTATATTAAATCAGAAACTTGTTATTACTCATAATTAAATTAGATAATTAATTAATTAAAAGATCAATTCAATAATAAATTTACCATATAATGTATATCAAGTAAGTCTTAATAAGAATAACTAATCTTCCTTAGTTTTAATATTTTATGAATATTAAGATATGATCACTATTTCCTTGTATTTTTGGTATTAGAATACAATAAATAAACTATATGATTTGCCATTATATAATTATTAAATTAAAATACCTATCAATTTCTAATATTAAGAATCTATTTTGTTATTATTAACATAGAACAATTAATCTGATAATTTCTTATTTATTTATAATTGTAGTAATATTTCACTAAAATCTTTATTATGGATTATTAAATTAGATAATACTGATTAATAAAACTTTGGATTTATCAATTCCAAACTTGACTTTTTTTATTTAAGAAATAGGTCTATTGTTATAGAAAATATCAATAATATTCACATCAAATATGAAGATTATCAAAATTATTCTTATCCTTTTTTTTCATCATCCATATTTAATTTAATTTTAGAATCATAATTGTCTTTATTTAAATAATAAACAAATATAAAAATTAAACAATATTCTCTTAATACTAATTAATTATTGATTCTTCTTAAAGATGATTTTATTAAGATTGATTCAAATGGTTACATAGACCTAATTAACATATAAGGACTGATTAATTAAATAGTAATTCTTGAGAGTACTTAATAAGAATTAATTCATCCTTTAACTATATATAATTCAAATGAGTTATCCAATTGTTTATATTATACTAATCATTTGTGTATTCAATCTCATTCTGTTATTATGTTTTAATACTTGAAATAAATATACAAATTTTAATTAGACAAATCTATAAATCATCAATGTTAAATCTATTTTGATAAAAAATACAAAACTTATCATATTATGTAAATAGTTGATATTAACGAATAGAAATTAATTAATTTCATCAAAATTCAATTTGAAATATAATCTATTAATGGAAAAGTATCAATAAATAAAATTTAGGAAACTTATTATTCTATTTTAATGATTGAGATTTAACAAATTGTAAAAATTGAAGGTCTGATCATTTTGATTTCGGATTCTTTTAATAGCAATTTAATTATATAAAAATAATTTAGTTATGAAATTATTAACTTTAAATTAAGTTATCCCTATAATACTTTTGATGCATACTTCATAAAAAATGGTACATACTTCTTTATGGCTGGTGATAATTAGTAACTACAATTAAAAGTAATCACTTTTAATCTTGATGATTTAAATTTAAATTATGAAACTTTATTTAGTCAAGAATTATAGTTTTTAGAAATTTTCTAAAACATGCCTTTTATTTAATTTGAATTACAATTAAATTTTATAAAAATAAAAACAGTTCATTTAAAAAATAATTCACTCATAATTTAAGCAATATTATTTTTTTATGATACTTTTTTTGTTTTTATTGAAATTCATTATGACTTTGTAAAATAAATACTAATATAAACATAAATTGTATCAATATTTAAATATGCTGATTCTTCAAAATTTCATTAGTTATTATATCTTGATGAAAATTTCATAATTATAAAAGTATCAACAAATACCTCAAGGTCTTCATTATTAATTTATGATTTAAGTTATATTCTAGAAAAAAAAGAAATTGATGCAATCTATTTGTTTTAAGATAACAATTATACTACAATTGAAAGGTATAATTAGACTCATCATGTAATGCTTAAATTTGATAAAGACATTCTCTAAATTAAATTGATTTAGTTATAAAAATACTAAATTAAGTGTATAAATCAATGTAATTTAAAATTAAAATTATTATTATAAAATGATTTTTCAAGCATAATTGTTAAAACTATTGATTAAAATGATGTACCTCTAGTAAACTATCAATAAATTATAGTGTTTATATGTCTTCTTTGTATTATTTATTTAACAATACATAGAAAAAAAAGAATGTAACCTATATGAAAAACTAATATTTATAATTAATTTAAATATTATTTATTATTAATTTCTTATGAAAAAATAATATAAAAACAATTTTATTTAAGTTTCTCATTTATTTATTATTCATAATTTAATTGATAATTTGAAAATTGAAATAATTTATGTTTAATGAAAAATCTTTATTTTATTACAATTAATTCAAAAGTATTGATATTATTGCATAGTGAATACAAATAGATTAATTAGACAACAAATTCAAAAATGAAATTAAAATAATAATAAATTTTATTAATTATTATATATAATTAATTATAATTTCACTCAATTATTTGAATATTTTTTATTTTTTATTTTTCTATTTTTAAAGGTTTATTAAAATAGAATAATTAGTATAAAGTTGATTAAACAAATAAGAGTATTTAGAATATTTGAAAATATTAGAACATTATTTTCATCTAAATCAGGATAAAAATCCAATGTTAATGTAGATACAGAATTATTTAATAAAATTGATTTAAATGAGTTGTTTGATTTTAATTAATATCCTGAGAATTATAATAAACTAATCGAATAAATAGAATTTTCACTATTTATTTATACAAAATGAGTATCATTTAAATATTCTATGGTTATATTTTTACCTTTATATTGATAAAGACTATTAAGAATCTTTGTTGAATATAAAATATAATAATATAGTACTGTTTCTTCATTGAAGAGTAGGGCAATAATTAAATTTTGTTAATTTGCTAAACAATACTATAATTACGACTATTGAAAAGGATACTTTATATAATTCATTATATGGCTTTTTACTAGACTTTCTTAAAAATCTATATTTAAATTTATTCTAAAGCAATTTTATTTTTCAAAACATAGAATTATATCAGTTTAAAAAATCATATCAATTAAAGTGTGATTATGGATTAATAATGAATTAACAAATGAAAAATTAAAATAAGTGTAATCTAGAATCATTTGGGATATTTTAATATCTAAAGACTTACTATTAGTGTAATTCTCATTTAATAATGCAATATGAATTTGATTATAATTTTAATTATCATAGCAAAATATTACATAATGATTATTTTCATAAATAGCTTAAGCAATTTAAAAATTAAATAATTAATTTTAATAAATATATCTACTTATATTATTCTCTTCAAAAAGTAAAATTTAATAATAAAGTTGTCTCATGAACTTAATTATGGCAATATTTTTTACAAAAATTATACTTTAGATAGAATTATCCCCAAAATTAATCTATGGCTGTTTTTATTTCAAGATCAATTAATTCTAATATATATCATAATATTTCAACAACATTCCTGAAACACAAAATATTTCTGATTAGTTAGACAAATCTTTAATAATAATTAAATCTTAGCATTCTTATGGTAATTTTACCTTAATTTGATTTCCAGAATTGTATAATATTACTTCTTTATCAAGATAACAAACTTAGTTCATATAGAATCTGCATTATAGAAATGGAGTTAACTCTATTGGATCTAATTTTTGATACTCACTCTCTCCCAAAAAATATACTGAATCAATTTAACCAAATATATTATCAAAATTTAGTTTGCATATTTATTTCTATTTATCATATTTTTATATAAATGGAATCTTAATATCTCTTATGCTTAATTTATAAATGAAATGAGTTATTTGAATATTAAATTAAATGTCTTAAGAAAAATTGTATATATCAGTTTTAATTTCTACTGAAACTTATTCATGCTTCAAGTCAGTATCAAAACCTAAATATTGGTCTGTAAATTTAAGAAAGACTATTTATAAATAAGTAATCATTAGAGATGACTTATAAATAGAAATAATTTCATTAGTACTTAAAAAAGTAAAATAATATTAATTTGCATAAATCTTAATAACTTTTATTAAAATATTTGATAGTTAATTGTTAAGATCATATACAAGAAGCACTTCCTATGAATTATGTATATTTTTGGCTACTATGGCTAATGAATCCCTATGAATTTGATATTTCAGAGGATAAATAATAATGAAATCATACAAAGGCAAATTAAAACAAAAGTACAATTCTTTAAATATCATATTATACAATTTTAGTATTATCTTTTATTCTATTACCTCAAAAATGACCAATCTTTATGCTTTTACAAAATAAATAAAGTCTATAATTTACTCAAAAGTGAATTTAAGTTTATTCGAAAAATAAGGTAAAATATTAATTTCGTATTTTGTTATATTGATTTCATATCGATCCAATATTTGATATGTACAACCAAATTATAGAGAACTGTTAAATACTTAATAGATTAAGATATCTAATTGAATCTAAATTTCAATGCACCCTTATAATTCAATATTAAGAATTTGATTGTTTTTTAGTATCTTATTAATCGTATTTTTTATTCTTAGAGACCACATCAATTCTATCATTATATCGTAGTGAAAAGCTTTTATGGTGTTATTAGATATTATGATAAAATTTTGATATTCGATACAAAATATAATTTGTGAGTTTGTATAATCCTCTGAACGTTTAATTCGATAACTTATTGTTTTATTGCTATCTATAATAAACATTGTTTCTTTGTCAATTACAAAAACTATATTATCTTTAATATTTATTATTTTAATCAAAAAGGCTTACAAACCCCAAATCAGATTTTTATATTATTTTATTAAAAATCTATCATCTGCAAATATCAAACAACTGTTAGATTATTTGTTTTGAGAAATTGAAAATGGTAATCCTTTTTACATTGAAAAAGTATGGTACTTATAATATTCATCTGAATTAACAAATAATGTTTCAAATTATATTATCTAAACTAATAATTAAGGAGTTGATTGTTTTTTAATTGTTATACTAAGAGGCTACAGAGCAACCTTGAATTATTTTACCAAAAAAACTAAAATATTTTGTTGATACGAATTAGATATACCTCTTGGTAAATTGTTAATTTTGAGGAATTCTAAAACTCCTTATTTGTTAAAACCTATTATAAATGGCAAATATCCTAGATATAAAATTTATGTGTTATTCAACTCATATTTTAATGAGATTAATTCATTATTATAAATATACAAGTAGTCATTACAATAAATAATAATGTTTTCGTTTATAAAATTAACTGAAAGTACTTTTTCACATTTTGGATTAATGAATATTACATCTTAAGATATAGATATCTCTTTTTAATTACTTTAATCAATAATTAAAAGATAATCTGTCCTAATATAATAAAAAGAACCTATATATTAATAATTACCATCTAAATTGTTTAAAAGTAATTCAACCTCACCAGAAATATAATTAATATCAAAAACTTTGTACTAACAAAAGACTCTTAATAAAATATCATTTTTTATCTGGATAGACTTTAATTCACCAATCATATCAATATTAAATTTACTCAAATTAAATTAGTTTTATTTTATCAAAAACTTTGACTATTTAATTTCAATAATGTAATAACAAAATAATTAATTTTAATTTTCCATTAAGATCAGTCTATGATCTACTTCTAAACTGTATAAAGTAGTATTGAATTAGGATATGATCTCTACAATATCTAAAATTTCATTATTTAAATCAATCAATTTGAAAATTAAATTATTTTCATTTCTACATTCTAACGTAAACAAATTCTAAACAGAATTATATAACTTTTAACAATTAGCTTGATTAAAAATAAAATAGTCATCCTAAAATGTTATTAATTAATTATTGACTAAATAATTCATTATTTTTTAATTACATTTTATAGTTCTTATCTTTACTTAACAAATATAAATCTCATTTTAATCATAATTTATAAATGTTATTATATTTGATACACCTTCAGTTAATACATACTATTTATGACTTACAATCAACTTTTTTGAAATTTCAAATATGCCATAGGAAAATTTTGGATTAGTAATTGAGTTATTGAATAAATTGTGTGATTCTATTATGATTGCTCTCTATGGAAAGTAATAATGTTCATTATCAGCCATAATAATTTCTCGTTCTGCTTTTATTAACATAATATTAGAGAAAAAAATGAGCTAAAACATATTTATATAATTAAATGAAATTTGATTTACATTTTAATTATAAATCAATACCATTTTATTGTATATGTGCAATAATTTTTAATCATAAATTTATATGTTGGGATTATTATACATGAATTATTTAATCAGAATTTTTAATCTAATTCATTCAATAGATTAAGGCAAGTTTTCAAACTAATTAATGTTTGCTTTGTCTCTTTTCTAGATTTTTAAATAAATTAATTTTCCTAAAGTAATTCATCAACATAATCTGATTTATATAATACTCCAATCAATTCTCTTTCGCATAAATTTCTTGATTGATTTACAAGAAATGTAATAATTGTTTTTGGAATTGAATCACATATATTCTTCTTTACTAAATTGAAATATGAAACAATAAGGTCTTTAATCATATCCATTTCTGTTTATTCTCTTTTACTTGGTCTATCATTCAGTTTAATAACATTTGGAACGCAAGGTAATTATCTTTTTGGATCATTTACATAATACTATTAATTAACATAAGCAATTTTATTGATTACTGATTACTATTATAATATCAAACTTTCATCAATTTATTCCAGTTTTTTTGATTTTAAATTATTCAATTTCCTTTTATTATTTAAAATATCAAGTTTACTATCATATAATTCTGTTTGCTTGTTATTTTTAAATGGCCAAAAATTTAAAAATTTGCCAGATTCGCTTTCACTTTAAACAGGCGATTTCTCCCTTATAATTTATTATGGTTATTATCTTTATTCATCTTTATTAACTAAATCCATTCCAGATACAAAATCTGGATGACTAGTATTTATATATCCAATCTCAATTTCTAATAAATTCTATATTATTTCATCTGTTTGAATTAAACATTTATTTAAAAGATTTTCAATCACTTCTTAAATTCTATTGGATAATACATCGAATCTTTCAATTTCAGGTATTGAAATTTAATTTATAACTCTTCTTAATTCTTCAAATATTATATGAGAACATTCAATTGAAGGCATGCGTAATCTTTAAATTTATTATCTAACTAATAATTCAAATGCCCCTTAAGGTACAAATAAACTAGGTCTAATTCCATTAGCATTTTTTATTGCTGTTCTTATTTCATCATCACTTAACACATCAAATGGATTCATTTTTTAAATTGTCCTTCTAAAGGTTTCATTAAATACATAAATTATTCTTGATCCACCAATCAATTCTTTACTAGTTATATCTAAGCATCTTCCTTCTAACATATCCTTATAAGAGTTGGAAAACTTAGAAATTAGTGTTAAGACTAATAAATTCTTTGTTTCCTTAGATTCCAAATTGTCATAATCACCATATTACTTTAATTCATATTCCTTCATCTAAGCTAAACTTATTATTGTCTCTCTAATTACAGGTAATGCTCTCTTAATATGTTAAATAAAATTCATATTTAAAGTCTTAACTAAATATCCAATACCCATCTTCTCTGAGTATTTCTTATATATTTTGTGAGTTTCGAAAAATGTCTTTTCATCCTTCAATTAATCCTAAATTGTTTTGTTCTTTTGAATATCTTTCTATCCTCTCATTATAACACCAACATAACCCAATTACAAAGGGTAAGTCTGATTAAGTAGATCATTCAATATATCACATCCTTCATCCATTAAATCCAATTAAGTTATTACTCCTATTGTTCTTAATCCATTCGGATCTACACTTCTAGCTAATTTTAATCCATCTGATGTTGCCAAATCATCTGAAGCTTTTGAAACTGCTAAAATCAAACTATTTTAATTTTTAATGAAAGGTAATACTATATCCAAAACCTTTTATTCAATATCTTAAGGTTAATCTCCAACAGGATTCTTTGTAATTCCTGGTAAATCAATTAATTGTAAATTTAGTATATCCTTCGAAAAATATTTAACTTTTATAGATAATGGAGATATCCCTTTATTTTTTCCTGCTACTTTGTCAGTCTCTTATTCAATTAATTTTCTTATCTCTTCTGACTCAAAAATTTTCTCTCCCCTCTTATCCATAAATTCAAACCAACTCTACTCAGCATCAACAACCTAATGTAATTAAATCTCTATTGGCCTCCTTGTAACAATTCCTTTTCCTCTTGGTAGAAATTCTCTTCCCACAATACTTTCAAGAAGAGATGATTTCCCGACAGATTAAGATCCTATCACTACAATTGATGGTAAATTCAACTCATTACTCAAACCAGCTGAACTTAAAATATCCTTATTGATATCAATATATGAATAGTACATGTAAATCATTTATAAAAGGTATCAATTTCTCCATAATTAAATATTAATTCTTATAAATAAATTATTAAACTTTATAGTCAAAATAAATCTCATATTCCAATATTTACTATTTCTAAAATATTTATATATTTATATTTATTTTTTATTACTTTTTTAGATCTAAAATTACTATTATATACACAATATTAATTATATAATATAAGAAGTTGAAATAACATAAGAATTAATTTAAGAGAGTTTCACGAAAATTCACAAAAATTTAATAAACAACATAATATATTTAAATGAAAGTAACCATAAAAGATGGCCTTTTTGATGGTTATCAAAAATACTACAATCCCAATTATCTACACTATTCCATTAGCATCTCATCATTCCTGAAAGAGAAAATATCATAGACTACGAGATAATAGTATTTTGAACGCCCACTTTTTTTTAACTTATTGATTAATCTTAAAATTATTTAATTTTTAAGATTATCATCATAGCCTACTAAAATTAAGCAGAATATATAAACTCATGAATAACATCTCTTTCCATATTATTTGATATCTTCTATAGTTTGATTGATACTCTTCTATCAAATTTTTTTTTTTAATATGATTTGAAATAAAGCCTAACAAATCTACCAATCATTAACATTCAAGGCTTGAATGAAGTATTAGCAATTTAACAAAATATTATTATAAATCGAATATAATTACAATTTTGATATCTTAAATTTAGTCCATATATAAATTATTGTTAATAAATAAATTCTAAAAATTACATATTTATTTAAATGAAATTTTTTTAGATTTATTAATTTTGAAAATGCAATCTTAAAATTAATTTATCTACAATTATTTCTTTTTCTTCAAAATATATATCCTAATAAACAAGTTTATTTGAAAGGAAAATATCAAATTATTTCAAAAATTTATGATACTTTATATCGATTAAATATATAGGTATATTATTATCAACATATTTTTCTGCCATATTATTTAATTGATTAAAAAATATCTCGACTATTTTCTCAAATTCAAGATTCATTAAAGCATTATTAACAGTAATAAAGAATAATTTAAATTAATATTAATTCTTGTATCTTATTTTACACTAAGAGACATTATAATTTAGATGCATTATAATATGAATTTTTATCATAATTGTAAATATGATAATAAATAAATACTACGAAGATTCGATGGTTACCAGAATATCCTTATTATGCATCATTTAATAAATAATTATTTCAATTACAAATTTGATCGATAAAAATCAATATATAGATAAATAACGTCACTTTCTAAAAGTTTTGATTTTCTTCAATGATGTAATTTGAGTTTTCATTTCAAAAAGTGCCTTCCGAGGAGAACTCAATAAATAGACAGAAAATTTATTTTATTCTTTTTTTGTATTTATTTATGGCAATTAAATTTGTTTTTACGGTTTTGGAGTGTTTATTACTTTCATTGAAGTGCAGGATTATACAAATTATTAAACAGTTTTATTAACATTTGTAAGCATAATACCTTCAGTAAGTTTTCGATTATGCATAGAAATGTTTTTGGTTTTGATAAGTGGAGTCTTTGATTAAATGGGTTTTAACTCAGAGACTTTTAAATTTTATTCATCACTCGAACTTGATCTTGATTCATTGATGATATTTTTAAAACTATTAAATCCAAAACTTGGTGATTTAGTTAGATTAACGAATGAAATCAAAGCTGTTTCATATGTTTAAGATTGTTATGATAATTCCATGATACCTTTTGAATATTTTAATTCATTATTATAAAAGAACTCATAATTAATTTGTTAATCATCTTTTGTTAACAGTCTTTTACACTTTAATATGGCTTCTGATGTTTTAGAACTCACAAGTATGGTTTTGGCTTTTCTTAATTTGTAATTGTTAGTTAGAATTACTGTATTGTTTTATGAATCTCCAATATTTAAACTTGTGGAGGTAACATAAGTGCCTTTTCTTCTTTACATTCTTCGTTTCCTCTTTTTACAATGATGTGCCCTTATGTAAGTTTATGGATGCAAAGCATTTTATCTATCTTAGAAAACACCTACATTTCCACACTCTGAACATCTACAACTTTATCTTCTAAAGGGTTTGTTACTAGATGTTCTTTTAATGGAAGGGGAAAGAAAACTTCGTTTTTTGTTAACTAATTGTAATAATTCTTATCTACGAGATCTATTCATTATTTATATAATTAAATGGTAAACTATTATTAAATATCAAGGAATCAATTTAAGAAAAATATTAATATGTTACTACAAAATTAAATATCAAAAAATTCCTTTGAATGTAGATGGAGTATTTTTTCTAGAGTGAAATTGATGTTGCTGTTATTTTTAGATGAGTTATTCTGATGAAATACTTTTAATAATTGTTCTAGGTGTTTTTATGAATGATGTTTGAATAATACTATCTATATGATTTCTAGAAGTGATGTTCCTAAAATATGGAGAATGATGGTGTAAAGAAGTTGGACTGAATTCAGTTTAAGGAGTGATTTTTATTTGTGAAGAAAAACGGGAGGATTTTGGTTCCTCATTTTTAGAAAATCTTAATGGTTAAATTGTGGTAAAGGAATTTGTTGTTATTTTATGAATTTTGGGCAATGTTTATTAATGATCTAAATTAGTTTTAAGAAAAGAATACCTTTTTCATTTAATTTCTATTATAGATATACTCTTATTGATTATCTTTATTTATGTTTGCTATCAATAATTTTCGCTTGAATTGATTGTAATTGTTGATTTTTTTAATTTTATTTGTCATCATGTTTTTCATATTGGACTTATTATTATTAAGGAGGCATCAATGGTGAAGCATCAAAATTGATTTTAGTTTTAAATCTATACATTTTTTTTTATTTTTGATTTTTTTTTGATTTCCTTTTTTTATCTATTAAATAGATAATGCAATAGACAGCATTTTAGAATCTTTTGAGTAATCTGAATTTTCTAAGTACGGACATTTATGTGTGAAAAGCAATAAATTTCTTTTAAAGACTCCTAACTTTTTTATTGACTTTTCCACAATTAAAACAACAACAACTCTCATTATCATTAAATTAAGAATTCTATGAAGTTTCCGAACTACTTTAGTCTGGGAGGTTACTACCTATCCAAGGAAATTACATCCAGATTGTTGAAAGTCTTGGGCAAATGATTTGAATTTGGAGGATGTATGGGTTTGGAATATGATGGTGTGTTTAAATGATTTTGATGTGCTAGAAGACCGGTGACTCTTTGAAGACACTCTGTAGGCAAGATGTCATTATGATCCATGAATATTAATTATTATTAATTATGATATCTTAATTTGTAAACAAAATATATGATAATAATATATCATAATCATAGATAAATGTTCCATAAGCAAACAGTCCCATCATAACTAGTTGTGATAACTTATTTTTGATCACTTGTCCAAGCTACCTTAGATATCCCAGAAGAATGCCCTAAATATTTACCCAAAATTGATTGAGTTAATATGGAGATCAAAATTAGCTAAAAAATAATATTATTATTAATTTACCTCTCCAGAATCTGATCCTGTAGCCAATATTTTACCATCTGGACTAATGGCGATTGAATTTAATTTTGTTACATCTATTGATTAAACTGGTTCTACAATATCTATATCCCAAAATTAGATGGGCATATTTATACCACAAGTAACTAAAATATAATAAGAAATTTCAATTACTTAGTTCTAATTCATTATCTTTTCTCTAAGTCATATCAAGTAGAACTCCATTTCTAGATTAATGTTGAATTACCTTTTTATCTGTTTTGAGATCATAAGTGTAAATAGTTTTATCAGCTGAACATGAATGAATAAAATTAGGTTTCATGAGATCTGGAAATACTTTAGTAATTTCTTTAGAATGGATAGATATTTATGTGATTAATTATCTTGCAGTTTTAGACCAAACTCTAATAATGCTATCCTCACCACCAGAGAGATAGTAATTTTGATCACTATACAAAGTAGTTACAGCTCCTTTATGAGCATTAACAATCTCCCATTTAATAGGAGATACTGGTTTATTAGTTATCATATATGCTCTTATAAACCCATCTCTCCAACCAGAGATGATAGTTCTATCAGGATCTAAATAAACTGATGATCCTTTGACTCTGTTCATGTTAATTGGAATACATCTTGTAATAACAAGCATTTCATTCATATCCCATACCATAACTACACCTTCATAATCAATGGAGACAAAGAGATCACATGCATTTAATGGTACTGATAAACCAACTATACTTGATTAATGTCCTTCAGTATGTACAGATGAATCTAAATGTGCAGTGTTTATTCTGTAGATTCTACCATTTGATGTTCCTGCTAATAATTCATTACCATTAGGATCAATTGTTATTGAATTCATTCTACCTTCTAAACATATTTCTCTTTCTAAATTCCATCTAGTATCACTTCCAGTCAATTTCTTCACCTTTCCATCTCCAGAACCAACAAAAAGGTTCTTTCCAAAAATATTAATACTCAAAACTCCATTATTACTAATAGGAATTGTTGCTTTGAATATTCCTCCTTATTATGAGGATATACTAAAAATACAAATTTCACCAGCATGAGTTCCAACATATAAATAATCTCCATTTGCATCAATTACTGCTTTTGTGTAATTTCTTACTAAACCACTACTAGGTAATTGACATGGTGCTTATTTGAGTTGATATTGCATAGAAGCAACATCAAAATCCATTGTATTTAAGAAGATATTGGAACCTTGAGAAGTGACAATTAAATATTAAGAATGTTTAGTAGATGATCTTCTTGGAGGACACCAAGTTATCAGATTTATTGGAACTTCTAATAATTTATTATGAACAATAGTATAATCTTAACAATTCCATATTATTAAATTATTGTTTGATGCAGTAGCTGCTAAGAATTTATCATCACTTGAAAAAGAAAGATTTGTAATTTCATCTCTCAAACCTCTGAATATTTGCATTGGTTTTCTTGCATTAAAATCCCATAGTATGACTGGTGCTTCTGGTGTCTTTGCATTTCGAGATCCCATCTATCCAGATGCTATATATCTGCCAGTCTTTGATAATGTCAATGCACTAATATCCATGTCATGTCCTCTCAAAAATAATTGTTAATGTTTATCATTCAAATTTTCTATTACAATTAATCCAGCTAATGCATATACTATTGTGGACTCCTTTTGAGGATGCAAGTGTATCACATCTCGATATCTCCCAGAAAATCCATTCATATGATCTAATTCTANGTCCTATCAGGATCTAAATAAACTGATGATCCTTTGACTCTGTTCATGTTAATTGGAATACATCTTGTAATAACAAGCATTTCATTCATATCCCATACCATAACTACACCTTCATAATCAATGGAGACAAAGAGATCACATGCATTTAATGGTACTGATAAACCAACTATACTTGATTAATGTCCTTCAGTATGTACAGATGAATCTAAATGTGCAGTGTTTATTCTGTAGATTCTACCATTTGATGTTCCTGCTAATAATTCATTACCATTAGGATCAATTGTTATTGAATTCATTCTACCTTCTAAACATATTTCTCTTTCTAAATTCCATCTAGTATCACTTCCAGTCAATTTCTTCACCTTTCCATCTCCAGAACCAACAAAAAGATTCTTTCCAAAAATATTAATGCTCAAAACTCCATTATTACTAATAGGTATTGTTGCTTTGAATATTCCTCCTTATTATGAAGATATACTAAAAATACAAATTTCACCAGCATGAGTTCCAACATATAAATAATCTCCATTTGCATCAATTACTGCTTTTGTGTAATTTCTTACTAAACCACTGCTAGGTAATTGACATGGTGCTTATTTGAGTTAATATTGCATAGAAGCAACATCAAAATCCATTGTATTTAAGAAGATATTGGAACCTTGAGAAGTGACAATTAAATATTAAGAATGTTTAGTAGATGATCTTCTTGGAGGACACCAAGTTATCAGATTTATTGGAACTTCTAATAATTTATTATGAACAATAGTATAATCTTAACAATTCCATATTATTAAATTATTGTTTGATGCAGTAGCTGCTAAGAATTTATCATCACTTGAAAAAGAAAGATTTGTAATTTCATCTCTCAAACCTCTGAATATTTGCATTGGTTTTCTTGCATTAAAATCCCATAGTATGACTGGTGCTTCTGGTGTCTTTGCATTTCGAGATCCCATCTATCCAGATGCTATATATCTGCCAGTCTTTGATAATGTCAATGCACTAATATCCATGTCATGTCCTCTCAAAAATAATTGTTAATGTTTATCATTCAAATTTTCTATTACAATTAATCCAGCTAATGCATATACTATTGTGGACTCCTTTTGAGGATGCAAGTGTATCACATCTCGATATCTCCCAGAAAATCCATTCATATGATCTAATTCTATTGCATCACTCTATAAAGGTAGTTTCTATCCTGCTTCAGGCATAGGTTGTTATACAACTTATGGAAGAGTTTAATTATAATAAGGATTCTGATACTGTTACGGATTTTGAGTGTATTATATGGGAGGCTATGGATAANCTATCAGGATCTAAATAAACTGATGATCCTTTGACTCTGTTCATGTTAATTGGAATACATCTTGTAATAACAAGCATTTCATTCATATCCCATACCATAACTACACCTTCATAATCAATGGAGACAAAGAGATCACATGCATTTAATGGTACTGATAAACCAACTATACTTGATTAATGTCCTTCAGTATGTACAGATGAATCTAAATGTGCAGTGTTTATTCTGTAGATTCTACCATTTGATGTTCCTGCTAATAATTCATTACCATTAGGATCAATTGTTATTGAATTCATTCTACCTTCTAAACATATTTCTCTTTCTAAATTCCATCTAGTATCACTTCCAGTCAATTTCTTCACCTTTCCATCTCCAGAACCAACAAAAAGGTTCTTTCCAAAAATATTAATACTCAAAACTCCATTATTACTAATAGGAATTGTTGCTTTGAATATTCCTCCTTATTATGAGGATATACTAAAAATACAAATTTCACCAGCATGAGTTCCAACATATAAATAATCTCCATTTGCATCAATTACTGCTTTTGTGTAATTTCTTACTAAACCACTACTAGGTAATTGACATGGTGCTTATTTGAGTTGATATTGCATAGAAGCAACATCAAAATCCATTGTATTTAAGAAGATATTGGAACCTTGAGAAGTGACAATTAAATATTAAGAATGTTTAGTAGATGATCTTCTTGGAGGACACCAAGTAATCAGATTTATTGGAACTTCTAATAATTTATTATGAACAATAGTATAATCTTAACAATTCCATATTATTAAATTATTGTTTGATGCAGTAGCTGCTAAGAATTTATCATCACTTGAAAAAGAAAGATTTGTAATTTCATCTCTTAAACCTCTGAATATTTGCATTGGTTTTCTTGCATTGAAATCCCACAATATTACTGGTGCTTCTGGTGTCTTTGAATTTCGAGATCCCATTTATCCAGATGCTAAATATCTGCCTGTTTTTGATAATGTCAATGCACTAATATCCATGTCATGTCCCCTCAAAAACAATTGTTAATGTTTATCATTTAAGTTTTCTATTACAATTAATCCAGCTAATGCATATACTATAGTGGACTCCTTTTGAGGATGCAAGTGAATCACATCTCGATATCGCCCAGAAAAGCCATTCATGTGATCTAATTCTATTGCATCACTCTATAAAGGTAGTTTCTATCCTGCATCAGGCATAGTCTGCTATACAACTTAAGGAAGAGTTTAATTATAATAGGGATTTTGGTACTGTTACGGATTTTGAGTGTATTATATGGGAGGCTATGGATAAGGTTGCTTATAATAAGGTTGTTGATTCCCTCTTTATGCATAATCTATAGGAGTATTTGTTATTGGATTTATTCCATTCTTATTCTGATGGCCTGGTTAAGGTCTTAAATTCATAATTTAAATTATTATTCTTTTTTCAATTTTATATATATTTAATAGTATAGGTATAAAATACTAGTAATTAATGAAAATTTTAATTTCATTTATGTCATATCTGATACAAAAAATTCGATATGCTTTCTCTGTTTAAAGAATACCGAATGGGACTCATTTAATTGTTGGATTGGGAAATCCTGGCAAAATTTATGAAAATACTAGACATAATGCAGGTTAATTGTTCATTAAGCATCTTGCAAAAGAGTTTGACATAAAAATGAATAATGGATCAAATGGGTCTATTGGATCATTTTAACATATAATCCTATTTAATCCTCTTTCATTCATGAATTCAAGTGGTCATCCAATAAAAAAGATTGCAGACAAAGCCAATATATCAACAAGCAATATTATTATTGTACATGATGATTTAGACAATATACCAGGAAGATGTAAGATTAAATTAGGAGGAAGTGCAGAAGGACATAATGGTTTGAAATCCATTATTTAATATATGGATGATAAATTCATTAGATTAAAAATTGGTATAGGAAGACCTAATTCAAAAGACCCTGCAATTGTTAGTGATTATGTGATGAGCAAATTAGATTATGAACCATCATAACAAGCATTCAAATAAGGAATTGTGCTTGTACGACAACTCTTTAAATTTTGATGATCATCTATCATTATAAGGTCATGCATCATTCAATATAATTTGTTTCATCTAATAAAGTGTTGAATTCTGAATCTGTCAAAATATCAGAAAATTAACATTTTTCTTATCTCTATCTAGCATTCTTTCCAATTCTTCCAAATTCTCCTTTACTACTACTCAAATTGTAACCAATCATCAAAAATATCATGCTTACTATCAATATAGTGATTCCTTCCATCAAAAGATCGTTTTTAAACATTTTTTTATTTTTATAATACTCATTATTAAATTCAATAAAATAATATAATAATTTAAAATCTCCAATTACTATCTATATTCTAATAAAGACTTGATAATGAATTTAAGAATAATTATTTTGATACACTTTTGTTAGAATTTCTAAGATAATTGAAATGTTATTTATTAAAATGGAAGTCAAAAATAAATTTATTACTGTCAAATTTATATAATATTAATATAATTATTTAAAGACACTTAAAATTATCATACATTATAATTAATAAAGTCCATATATTATTAACTATATTTTCTTGATTTAATTTAATCATGTAATATTTTTTTCATTGAAAAAAATGAGAAAGTTATTGTAAAATAGAATTTTTTAATATATTAATTTATTATATGAATAGATAATTTGAAGTAATGGGATTGTAATAAGTGAATCAACATTTATTATGTTCAATTTGCAGAGAAGTATTTTATAATCCAATACGAGCAACTTGTGGGTATAATTAGATCCAAATTATAGACATACATTTTGTGGTACTTGTTTAGTTCGTTGGATATAATAAAAGAAGAGTTGTCCACTTTGTAGACATCAATTAGAACGCAATTATAAATTCGATAAGGATATTTTAGCAACAAAAATAGTTGGAGATATTTAAGTTAAATGTTTGAGATGTTAATAATGGAATGGAACTTTAGCAGTATTTAAATAACATAAGAAAACATAATGTAAATTTGTATAAAGTAATAATGAAATACCATTAAATGCAATTGAAATAGGAGATGATGGTGAAGATATCACATATCCTTTTATTATTATTGACACACATAAAATTGTTAAAACAGCTAATCCACCTATTCTAGTATAAATAGATGAATAAAGTGGTGAATAAGATGAAGATCTATTTATACACTAAAGAAGATAAAATAATAATATTTAGAATGACAATTCTCAATTAGAAATAAGTCCTTATATTATAAGTGATTAATCTAATCATATAATAATTGAAACTTAAGATAATGTATTATTAGAAGAATCTAGTTAGCAATAATAAATATTTAACTGTTCTAATAATGAATAATATATAGATCTAGATAAATAAAATAATTAATTAGAATAATAGATGAATCCATAAGATTTATAAATTACTATTAATGAAAAAGATAATCATTATGAAATACAAGAAGACATCATAAATATATAAAACAATTAATAGATACAAAATATTAATGAATCAGAAGAAATTGAAATATTAGAACCTTCTTTAAGAATACTGAATAATAGAGAAATCAAGGAATTAAAATCTAATAGGAAATTCAGATTAAATATTCTAAAAAATGCTGTAAATGTAATTGAACCTTTAATTGATTCTATGAATGATGATTTATTCTATGAATTTATAGAACATATGAAAAAAGAAATGACAAATAAACTTAATGATCTTTTAAATACTTTAATTTGATGATAATTTTTATTATGTATCTCATTTTACATAATTGTTAATATACAATGCACAATTCCTTCCTGGAGCCCCCATAACACCTCCACCAGGATGAGTTCCAGAACCACACAAAAATAATCCATTAATGGGAGTTCCATAACTATTATATCCATTACTTGGTCGATTTCCATATAATTTATCCAAAGTCAAAGCACCATGGAAAATATTGCCTTCTGTCATATTCAAGAGTTATTCAATCTCCTATGGTGTAACCATATCTGTATAAAGTATAGACTTCCTAATAAAATGAAACTAAAAGATACTTGAAATTGGGAGCATATTGAGAAATGTAATCAATAACTTACTCCTTCAATTATTATTTGATTTATTCATTCCAATTAGCCTTATAAGGAGTATATTAAACCAAACATTATACAATGTGTTACCCTTCTGGAGCTATTGTCTTATCATGAACAGTAGGAACAACTAAATCCACAAATAAATTATCACTAAATGATCTATAAGATGAATTATTAATTAATAATACTTTCCATTTATACAATCTTAGTATGCTTATCTTAATGTATCCAATCTTTCACATCCTAAATGTGTTGTACCAATTAATACAGATTCAGGCTTTTCATATTTTGTTCCTTCAAAACATTTAAATTTAGGCATTTCAGATACAGCAAAATTAAATTTAGTACAAGCCCCATTATATTCCATATGTTTAACATCATTGAAATATTTAGGATTCTTTGTTTATTAATCATTTGATAGCAATTTCTCAAAGGTGATTCTTGGAGTTACACTGCTTATTATAGTATCACTATAATAGGTATTATTGTCTGAACATTTAACTCCAGTAACCTAATTATTAGATGTAAGTATTTGTTCCACTCCTATATTGGTTTTAATCTCTACTCCCTTCTATTCATTCAATTTAGTAAGTATTTTGGATATAGATCCCATTCCACCTTCAACAAACGCCCATTCTCCCTTAGAATTTGGGAATATCTCCCCCATTACATGATGCAATAAGATATATGCACTAGCTGGAGTATCAATAGATATCATTTCACCTATGATGCCATCAGTTATGAGTGTTCCTTTCAAGATGTCAGATTCAAACCATTTATTTAAAAATTAACTTGACGATTATGACATAAATTAAATGTAATCGTATATCTAATTAAATATACAACATATACTTTATCTTTATTTTTCCATCCATCTTATCCCATCTTGAGTAACAATCCAAGATCATCAAAACTTTTCTTTACATTGTATCCTTTAGCAGATGTGTCATAAGGATATTTATCTTAATAATAACTCCATAAATCTATAATTTCTGATAAGAATTAGTTGTATTCATCATAGACTTCACTATCTCTTTTAGAGAACTTGGCTATTTCTTATTTACAAAAAGTTGAATCTGAGTTCATCAGCAAATACTCTCCTTTATTTTTGGTGACTGTAATACTGGAGATAGGTCTTCTAAATAGTTTTAATCCATGTGAATATAGATTCAATTCATTAATTACTGATGGACGCATCAATGAAAGCAAATATGAGAATCGACTGAATTTAAAACCAGGATATATTTCTTCTGTTTAAGCTGCTCCACCTGTTATATGTCTTCTTTCTAGAAGCAAGATGTTTTTATATTTGAGATAGCAGGCTGCCACAAGTGCATTGTGACCTCCTCCTATAATAATAGCATCATATTTTTTCATATTTAATAAATTCAATTTATTGAGAATGTCTTGTTTAAGAAAATAAAGTGTTTCGTTTAGTGATCATTTTAGGAATCGAACTTTTTTTATAAAAACTCAATTAGGAATTTGATTATTATGTTTTAATGGCTCCAATAACAGAACTTGTTCTAATAGATTTACGATTGTTAAGATAAATAGAGTGTTAAGGACATATATTGTATGATCGTTCAGCACTAGTTTCAGTTCTAGTGGTTTGCTATGTTTTGAATCGAATTGGTTTTATTTATCTTCTCCTTTGATTAACTCTATTCTGTGCTTAGCTAATATAATTTTTGATAGTCTCTCCAATTTTAGTATTTCTGTGGACTGCATAATTAAATACTGTTTTGTTTTTTTCATTCGACAACTTAGCTATGTTGATTTGATACTTATTATCAATATCAGGTATCATGGTCTAATTTCTGGAGGACTATCATTACATTCCTCATCAAATTCTGGTATGCAATTATAACTCTTTGTATTTTCTAGTAATTCAGCCACTTTCGTATCATTTCTTAATCCATAATATATTTAGAATATTAGTGTTATCAATAAAATTATTATATATATGTGATACATTTTAAATAGAAATACAATATATTAAAATATACAAATAATTAGTGAGGGAAGGAATATTGTTAATTATTACTTAAAATCTTAAATAATTATTCAAAAACCTATTAATAGTATATCCTAATTTATTTAATAAGTGAAATATATAATAATTTAAATATAATTATATAACATTATTTTGATAAATGATATTTATTATAAATGTTATACAAATCGTATTGTAACTAGAATCTTATGTATTAGCCTATTAATAAATCATATGTTAAACTATTTCTTTTATAAATAAATATAATTATGTATAGTTATAATATTTATAATAACTTTTTTGATAAGATTTCTAAAATATAATGAATTGAAATCGATTAATAATAATTTTTAGTTATTTACACATAATCAGATAATTTCAACAAAAATATGTGATTTTTTAATTTAATTGCAAATAATTATAAATGATAAGAAACATATATAATTAAATATTAAATACTTCTAATCTTACTTTCTTTATATTATTAGCAATTTTATACAATATTAATTTCATTATGATTTCTTTATTCACAGTAAAGAATAAACTATTATTNAAGTTGAATCTGAGTTCATCAGCAAATACTCTCCTTTATTTTTGGTGACTGTAATACTGGAGATAGGTCTTCTAAATAGTTTTAATCCATGTGAATATAGATTCAATTCATTAATTACTGATGGACGCATCAATGAAAGCAAATATGAGAATCGACTGAATTTAAAACCAGGATATATTTCTTCTGTTTAAGCTGCTCCACCTGTTATATGTCTTCTTTCTAGAAGCAAGATGTTTTTATATTTGAGATAGCAGGCTGCCACAAGTGCATTGTGACCTCCTCCTATAATAATAGCATCATATTTTTTCATATTTAATAAATTCAATTTATTGAGAATGTCTTGTTTAAGAAAATAAAGTGTTTCGTTTAGTGATCATTTTAGGAATCGAACTTTTTTTATAAAAACTCAATTAGGAATTTGATTATTATGTTTTAATGGCTCCAATAACAGAACTTGTTCTAATAGATTTACGATTGTTAAGATAAATAGAGTGTTAAGGACATATATTGTATGATCGTTCAGCACTAGTTTCAGTTCTAGTGGTTTGCTATGTTTTGAATCGAATTGGTTTTATTTATCTTCTCCTTTGATTAACTCTATTCTGTGCTTAGCTAATATAATTTTTGATAGTCTCTCCAATTTTAGTATTTCTGTGGACTGCATAATTAAATACTGTTTTGTTTTTTTCATTCGACAACTTAGCTATGTTGATTTGATACTTATTATCAATATCAGGTATCATGGTCTAATTTCTGGAGGACTATCATTACATTCCTCATCAAATTCTGGTATGCAATTATAACTCTTTGTATTTTCTAGTAATTCAGCCACTTTCGTATCATTTCTTAATCCATAATATATTTAGAATATTAGTGTTATCAATAAAATTATTATATATATGTGATACATTTTAAATAGAAATACAATATATTAAAATATACAAATAATTAGTGAGGGAAGGAATATTGTTAATTATTACTTAAAATCTTAAATAATTATTCAAAAACCTATTAATAGTATATCCTAATTTATTTAATAAGTGAAATATATAATAATTTAAATATAATTATATAACATTATTTTGATAAATGATATTTATTATAAATGTTATACAAATCGTATTGTAACTAGAATCTTATGTATTAGCCTATTAATAAATCATATGTTAAACTATTTCTTTTATAAATAAATATAATTATGTATAGTTATAATATTTATAATAACTTTTTTGATAAGATTTCTAAAATATAATGAATTGAAATCGATTAATAATAATTTTTAGTTATTTACACATAATCAGATAATTTCAACAAAAATATGTGATTTTTTAATTTAATTGCAAATAATTATAAATGATAAGAAACATATATAATTAAATATTAAATACTTCTAATCTTACTTTCTTTATATTATTAGCAATTTTATACAATATTAATTTCATTATGATTTCTTTATTCACAGTAAAGAATAAACTATTATTATTTATTTAATCCAAATAAATGGGTTCTTGTAGTTCTAATGTACGTAAAAAAGTTCAAAAAAATTCAGAAATCAGGTAATTCAGTTAGCTAGATATTCGTCATTTTTATAAATTGGGATAAGTAATCGGTCGTGGCAATTTTGGAACAGTTCAAATTGGTTACAAGATTGATTAAGTAAAGAATGGTTTTAAAGGGAAATGTTATGCTATAAAATGCATAGATAAAGATAGATTAAGTTTTGAGTAGATATAAAGAGAGTTGGAGATTTTATCAAGACTTGATCATCCAAACATCATTAGAGTTTATGAGGAATATGAAGATTAAAATCACTTCTATTTTGTGATGGAGTACTGTAAAGGTGGAGAACTCTTGTAATAAATCTTAAAACATGGAGCATTAAGTGAAAGAATGACGTAAATAATAATGAGATAATTGTTTTCTGCTGTTGGATATTTACATGAAAGAGGTATTATTCATAGAGACTTAAAACCTGAGAATTTGATGTTAGCAAATGCTGATGGAGAATTTGATATAAGAATTATAGACTTTGGATTGAGTAAGCGTGAATAAGTTATAAAAAAGCCATAACAATAGAGATCAAAATGCAGACATTAAACCAAAGTTGGAACTCCTATTTATGTGGCTCCAGAAGTTATAAAGGGTGTCTATTCAGAGACATGTGATGAATGGTCATTAGGTTGCATTATGTATGCATTATTATTTGGAGAACCTCCATTTAGTGGATAAAATATTCAATAATTGGAACAATAAATAAATAAACCCAATCTCAAGTTCAAATTAAATGTATCAACTGAGTGTTAGGATTTAATTACTAAATTATTGGAACCTAATCCAAATAAGAGAATAACATGTTTATAAGCACTTAAACATACATGGATGATACGTGATTCCAATTAATATAGGATGTTGACAACAATGTAAAGTGAAGAAAATAGTTTAGAAATTGAGAGAATAATTGAATTACTTAAATAATATAGTGAAAGTACTTAATTTAAGAAAGAAGCATTGAAAATTCTATTATCACAATTAACAGATTTATAATAGAAATATTTAAAATTGAAATTTGAAGAATTGGATAGAGATAATAGTGGAACTATTAATGAAATTGAATTTTAAGAATTTTTAGAATATTAAGGAAAAATTACATTGTTAAAACAATTACCAATAGAGAAATTTAGTAAAAATGATTAAGGATTTTATATTTCATATACAGATTTTATGGCTGCTTTATTGAATCAACCATTTTATTTAACTTAGGATAGATTGGATAATCTATTCATTTGGCATGATGTTAAACATAGATAATATATATCAAAGAATGATTATGGAATTGCAATGAATAGAAAAGGAATAGTACTTAGTTAGAATAAGATAGATGGAATATTTTAAGAATTAAATTTGGGATTGATTAGATATGATCAGTTTAAATAAATAATGACTTTAAATTAAGTTAAGTAAAAGAGTAAAAGTATTGTTTAGAATAAATAAAGAAATGGATTAAAGTTTGAGAAAATGATTCCATGTATTGGAGATGATTGAAATTTTTTATGATTTTTTATTAATTATATAAAAAACGGGTATGAATAGAATTGGATTTGGATTGTTATGTATTATGTTAGTGACAGCTAGCAGTAATGTGATGTTACAGACAGCAGATCATAGTGCATTTATAGATGTGTTTAAAACTTATGTAATGAGTGTTGGTTTATAAGTAAATAGTCAAAACAAAGTGAATTCGGTGGAAGATTATTTGGAGAGTTATTAATGATGGTTCAGAAAGGTGAAACATTATAGAGTCTAAATGATCATGTTGAAGAGTTGAGAAAGCATTTGGCAGATGATGAATCAGAGGATGAGAAATATTTCAATGAAAAATAATAAGAAATGGAAGCTACATTTTCTGGATTAGCAAATGAAGTAGAAGAATTAAGAGTATCAGTTGAACAAGCAGCAAGTAGAATTTAAGTTTTGAATAATTAATAAACTATTATTGATGGATTATTTGCAAATGATTAATAAGCATATTAAAAGAGAGTTGGTGATTAAAATGCTATTTTGGATGTAATTGGATAATTGTTATTACGTGTGAGTGAATTACAATAAGGTGGTGGACATAGTTTGATTGAAAAAGATAATTTATTAGATGAAATCAAAGCATTAGGAAGAGGAAAACATATTGAAGTTTTAGCTTAAGTAATTAATTAATATTTACATTTAGATTACTGCTCATTTATAAACTGAATAAGTTGAACATATTTAAGAATTGTTGAATAGATTGAGAGATGCAGTTTTAAATAGTTTAGCAATTGATGAAGAGAAGGAATAAGAAAATATTAGATTATACAATAAATTGAGTGGTGAAATCAGAAGGTAATATTTATATATTTTATATATTTATTAGTTCATTGGCTTAAAGTGATAGATTATATTAAGAATTGGATGCTCACTTTTAATAAAAGGAATTGGAATTGAATACTAAGAAATTGGCAGTTCGTGAAGTAGGATAGACATTGTAAGACAGAAATGATTAGAGGTGAATAATTTAATAATATTAATAGATAATTTATATTGGATAGAGTCTAAGAGGCATAAAAATTATTGAATGATAATTTAGATAGAATTGCAAGATGGTCTGTTGAAAGCGAATGAATATGAATTTGGAAATTTAATATTTTTTAATTTAATAAAATTAATGAACGCAGTGTTATCAAAACTTGATCCATTAATCACAAAATTTGGACTTGATAATACCGATCAAATGGAAATTCTTAAAGGACCATGCAGCAAAATTGGAGT